GTAGATGGGCAGATGAATAGATGTTTTATTTTACACATTAGAATCATATAAATGCAAATAAAGTTTAATAAATGAATCAAAAATTTAATATTCTAAGAAAATGAGGACAAAGTAAAGTGAAATAAAAAACAATATTTTTTTTGTTGCTTTAAACCAAGCCCGAGTAAGGTAAAAGTTGTGTGCGTATTAAGTAAAAATAAAGAAGTATACAAAAAGCAGCTGATGGTATATCCTTGTTCTGTTTTATTTTCTCTTGTACTCTTGTTTCGCTTCGGTTTTCGAAACGACAACAGAAGAAGTCAATGAATATTAATTTCTTTTTCGAAATGGAAAGTGAAAGCCGAAAGGGAAATAAAAGAAGAACTTTGGTTCGATTAAGTTTGATTTTCGGAAAATTTAAGAAGTGACAAGGACGATGTAATAATCAAAAAAGCAAAATAAATATAAATGAAATATTCTTGAATATGAACGCCTTGAAGCCTTCAATGAACTGAACAATGAAGTAGAAGCATAACAACACTGTGCCTTAAAAGGATTTATTCATTCATAAATAATCTACTCAATTTTATTTGTTTCGTTTACATTGATTTTTTTTATAGTCCTCAAAAAAAGATTCAAATAAAAATTAATAAGGAAAAATTCTAAATTCGTAATTTTATTTGTCTGAATTACAAGATACCACTAAAGTTCATACACGCGCAGATTTTTTTTGAACCCGAAAACAATATTACGTAGTATACATTTTTTAGAATGCTTTTCCTTCCCAAGAAAAGTTTGAAAATAGAATAGAAAAGAAGAATAAGAAAAACAAAAAAGAACCTCGGAGCTTTTCCCTTACATTTTGTGTACAGTAAGTTTCATTTCCAGACACGTGTAACCAACACATTCAAACGTTTAGAAGCAGAATATGATTTTAATGGTAGCAATAAGCTGTTATGTCACGCAAAGATCTCTCAATTTCTCTCTCATTTCAATTTTTATGCTCAAGCAACATTTGGGACTTTTTCCTTCGAGAGAATATTTAATGTTGCGTATTTGTAAGAAAAAATGGATAGAAATACATAAACTTATATGTATATGCTTGCTTTCATGCTGCGTGTGTTACGAATAAGAAAAATAAATAGGCCAGCAGTTAAAACAATTTGCACTGAAATTTCTGCTTAGAAAAAAAAAACCTTTTTAATGTTCTTGCTTTCACTCAAAATCAAATTCACATTGTTTCTTTTTGTGAAATGAAATTCTAAATCATATTAATGATTTGGTAAATTAACTTTTACTCACTTCTTTACTCTTGATATCATGACATAAAGTCAATCATGTTATTTATTATGACATTACATTAAGTGTGCTTGAAATACACCCTTATAGTAATATGGTTGTAATTTCATGAACTTTGAATCAAATTGTGAAAAATTTATTTTTGATTTCTTTAGAATATTTATTATTGAATCAAATGAATTGTTTTTAGTTGTTGAATATATTGTAAAGGCACTTAAAAGTTTGAAAAAAACTGAAGACTTATAATGTTTGGTCAAACTTTAAATCTTCGAACATTTGCTAAGCATAGCTCAGCTTGCTTAAATGCTTAAATGTTACTAATGCATGATTGTAACCTATATTAAATCTATTTTCGAGATTGACTATGGAGCAGTAAATGAGCAAGCTTTCTTGAAGTCTGATCTTCATAATGTGTTAGAGTTTGATCTATATATAAAACTGACTTTGATCTTACATTAAAACTTTACTTTAAATCTTTCACTTAAACCAAAAACGAATTAAAAGTTTTGTTGCGGTGTGAATATACATATCCACATTGTGTTTCTACCCGATACACTTTAACCAATACTAATCTTTGCGTCAAAAATGCGCTGAAATCACTCGACAATGCACGAGAACATTTGTCAATTTTAAGGAATAATTTAAAGAAAATATTACGATTCTCAATATTATTCTGTTCTATCATAATCGGATATAGTGGAGAAAATACAAAAAGGAAAATAGTAATACAAATATAAAAAAAAAACTATGAGAAAACTAATTGAAATAGAAAAGGTAAAGAAATAAAAGTTTTATTTGTATTTTATGTCCTAAATTCTAACATAATCTAGAAAATGCAAAGGAAGTGAAAAAAGAAAAAAAAAGTTGAATAATTTAAAATTTAGGCCATGCTATCACAGGGATAAGTATTTCCCAGGGAAAAGTGTTTATTAAACCATACACAAAGGTGCTAATGTCTTATCTCTTGCATTTTTTTATTCTTCGAGAAAGTAATAAAAATACTGGTTAATTAAAACATTTTTCGTTTTGTAAGAACAGATTTTATGATAAAAAAAATTAATGTAGATAAAAATTATAATTTTGTTCATTCCGCTGTATACAATTTCATTCGATGTATCTATTGCAATAATTTCATTAAATGTATTGTAATAAGAGACATACACTCAAAATGTTACGGAAAATACAGAATACGTCAATAGCTTTAGAAAGAAAAAACCACAAAAAAACCATCAAACAATAAAAATGACAAAAAAATTTGATTCATAGAAATTTTAACACATGTCCGTGTAAAGGTTACACAAGATATAGCTATTTTTGTTGCTGCTGTCATAAATTTTCCATTTTTTGGGGAAAGAAAAAAGATCTTTTTGATATATTGCTGACAAAATTGACATGAACAGTTTTGTTCCATATATTTCAAATATAAGGGTGTAAACATATATTGTATAGCATACTTGATGGCTTTTTTATAAGAAGTTAAGAAGAAAGCAAGTAAAGAACGATTTTTCATGCGTAAATTCTTTATAATGACATAACAAATAATGATTTTTGACTACAATAATTTGTAAAAACTAGGTCGAATGATAAATATTTAAGTTAATTGAATCTTTATTTTTTTAAAAAGCTTTAAAAGGTATTAGGTTTCAAGCTAAACTATCTCAACTTTATTTTTCTGAATGCTAAATGACTGACTGCGTGATGCATTTCCAATTTTTTTTTCTTCTTACTGATTGTAAAGTATGTAATTTCATACAAAAATCTGAACTTTATCAAAAGTTATTATTATTATTATTATTTTTATTTCTTCATTTTATCTTTAAGCTCTATGTTTTGAATTTAGTCATATGCATCATAAGAAAGAATTTCTCTCAACTTCCGACGATTATTTACTCGTATTAACCAAACAACAGTTGAGGAGAAAACTCAAAAAAGTCGAGATTTAATGGAAATTTGAAAACAAAAAAATTGAACAAAATGTGCAAATTGTTGCACATAACCTAGATAGAACGGTATTAGATAATATCAAAACACAAGAAAACAAATAAATTGAGAAGATTTTGCATCGCGATTGGTTTTTTGTGTTTTTTTTTTCAAAATTCGCTGACAAGGTTATTTCAATCAATTGGTGCTGACTGAATTTCCAACAAATTACCAAGACAAAATGGAACAGGATAAACTACAGAAATACTGTAGAATATTCAATTACATCGTCCTTACATAACCTCTAAACATAAAACAAAACATTGAATCTTTTCGAAATACAACACAAGTCGTTAAACTGTATTAAGGACTGTCGAGGAATCTGGATCATCAACAATTGTTTTGGCTAATTGCAGGCACGTTTTTTGTCAATCAGTTTGATTTGACTTGATTGTTTTAAATGGTTTTAACAGTATGTAAATTTATAAATGTAAACAAATAGGAATTGAGAACGGTCTTTAAATAGCAACATGGTCCATCAGCAATAAAATTAAATAAGAAGAAGAAGGAATTGTAGAGTTCTAAAGGTTGAAAATAAATTTTTTTGAACTTTTAGAACTTCTGAATAACGGATGTTTTCATCATGAACAGATTAACATTTGAAATTGTCTTATGAAGCTTTATTAACAAGGATCATTTCACAAGTATTACCAGGAACTTTAAAATTCCCATATTGTTTTATATAAAAGGCTTAATTTATCTCGTCCTTGTTAAACAGGTCTAAGCCATTCCCATATTTATAAAAAACTTTAAAATGGCTAAGTTAATAAGTTTAAACTCTTTTTAATAACGAGATTTGATGTCAATTTAAATTTTTCAACCATCATATGCACCCAATTCAATTAGAAAACGTTATTTTGCAGAGTTTATATTTTAAATAAGGATATCATACATTTGAATAAATATAAGACTACAAATATTTATTAATGAACTTAAAATTTTTTTTTTAAGTAACTCAATTATATTTAAAATTGAAAACATCATAAATTGAGTAAATGAGTTCTGGTTATGTTTTGAAAAGCTATTAAAAGAGTATGTGTAGTTGCTAAACATAAAAACCAAATCGTGTAAAGCTACTTAAAATAGGATCATTAACCTCAAAAGAGAAGGAATGAATGAGTCCTTTTTTTGCATGTCACAATAGTACATTGTATGAAAAATATATGAAAGCTTTTGTTCTGCTTAATCAATAACATACTTTTATTATTAAAGAATCTAAAAGAAAACAAAGGAGGGAAGGAAACTAGTTTATTTGAGACAGCTAGACAGTGTTGCTTACAAGTATGGCGTGTTTGAAAATTTGATGATTTTCATCAATTTCTTTCTATTTTTCTTTATTGATTTTCTATATGATCAATGTTCAATTTTTTATTGGAATAACGAACGCTTGTGTTTTGATATAATTATTTGCCAAATTGTTTAAGCAATACACTACAACCTAAAATTAATTGATTAATTGTAGAGTCATGACTTATGAATTATACAAAAAAACTGAATTATGTTTTTATGTAATTTCTGTGCTAATTGCTTGTTCATTATTGGTTCCTATTAATTTTTAATTAACGAGATAAATATTGACGGAAACGCAAAAACCGACTGATTAAGTTTTTAAGAATGTCAGGACATGATATCTCGTATTAATGTAGAAACGGTTATAAACTTTTCATATTAAATTATTAATTGTATCAAGAGAGATGGCCTCAAACACGAATTATTAATTAGGAAGAAAATTATGTACTCACCTTACGACGTAATTAACACAGACGACACTTTGCGGCTTCTGTTTTTCAAAAACTACAGTTGCCTGGGTAACAATCCATACATAACCACCATTTCGTGCCAAAAAGCGGTATCGGTTGGTTTCAGTTTGACCTTTACTGATTACTACAATTAACGTAGAAACAACGAGAAAAAGAATAGAAGTATGATGATTAGTTAACAGTTTGCTAGATAAAAATTCGAATATAGCATGTTTAATATATAATGACCTCATAATGAAACTTAAACTCAAAATAAACCAGTTGGGGTGTTTCAAAGTTATGCTTCCAATCTTTTACATTGTTTTCATAGAAGAGTAGGAGGTGAGCTTTACCCACATTTTTTGTTAAATCTTTTTTTTTTTTCGTATCTAAAAATAGCATCCAAAGAATTTTTATGTTCAGTAAGAAAAGCAGTAGAAAAGCTAATGCAGTGAACTTCATGACTTTTGAGAAATAAAGTTGAGATAAGAGAGCTTATAGCAGCTTATAGTGTATCACACCCTTTAGACCTACATTTTTTTTTGTTATAGTTTTTAAGGTTTAAGGCATTCAATTTTGCCTATTGTCGCTTAAATTTTGTTTTAATCTGTGTTTTTTGCTTTAGTCAGGTATTTTTGTTTTTAATATTTCATTCGAAAAAAACTCGCTCAGTAATATAGCACATCGAATGTAGAATAAAAATAACAAAAACTACATAAAATGTATAAAAAGTGCAAGTTGCATCATAGAATTTTAGGTGAATGAACGGAGAAGAAAATGGAAAGTTCAATGAAAATTGTGTTCTTTTATTTTCTTTTTAGCAAAACAAAGAGAAACTTGGAAAACTCAATTGCTACCCTCTCAAGGAAATAAGAGAACATTTAAGATTATATAAGAAAATGTACTGCTTAGCATAAGCAGCTGTGCTTTTGTAGAAAAATGTACACTCATAACAAGAAGAATTGCTTCTCGCCCACTATAGAATTTCTAAAAACTTTTAATACGATTCAAGCAAATGAGATTTTCTTTTCGTTGTCACCGAGAATATTGATTTTTCTTTTCCTCATTCAAATTCTTTTTTTTGGGGTGATATCTAAATATTAAAATACCTCTGAAATGGGAATATGATTTTTATAAGCAATCAATCTTCTCTTTACTAATCTATTGACAGTCTATTAAGAATGTATTTTGTAACCTTTTTTTTATGAAAATAGTTCAGGAAGAATATTAATTAATAAGCTAAGGAAGTTTCAAATAAACAAAATCAAAGGCATTGTAAACGCTTAATCTATATTATGGATCTGTTAATTTTAGGTGATAATTTTTTGAAAATGAAAAATAAACAAAATCTTTTATTTAAGCAACGACAAATGAGCAAACAGTTGAGAATTTCTGTTGAAAAATAAAATCGTTTAAAAGTAAATTATATAATAGATCCATTATAAGTCCTTTCAGTGAATATCATTCTCAACTGAAGGGAAATTTCCACTTAGCACAGTAAGCGCGATTATAAGAAGAAGATAAGTTGCATGGTCATAAATCTTGATTAATTTACACACTTAATAGCAAACGTCAAATCTTGGATTATGATTTTGTAAAAATACTTTGATACACACGCTTAATGTTTAATAACATTCTTTTTATCCCAATGACTCAGATTATTGTCTGAATTTTCTATTTTATTTTCACAGTTCAGTTTGTTGTTGGGCATTATAGAAAACATTTAGGAATAAGTGAGAGAGTGAAAAAAAAATTAGTGAACATTCGAACAAGATTTGTAAATTATCATCATCATGTGAAAATTGTCGACATTTAAATAAGCATTTTCAAGAAAAGCACGTGTCATTGGTAAACAACATAAAATATCCACACAAGATTTTAATTTTCACGAGTTTCCACAATACTTTCTATTTATAAACAGACTGAATAGACAAAAATCTATGAATAAAAATTCAATAACTTAAAACTGAAAACAACAACATTAATAGTGAAAAATGTTGGACGATGATGGGAAAATAAGTTGAAAAGGAGATGCGGCTAAAAACAAAAATGTATTAAGAAGAAATTGATGAAGAAAATAATAATTTGAAACAAAAAATATGCTGAAATGTTGCCAAACTTTTTGAGCTGTGAGAATTGAATTTTTCTCAAACGCGTAAAGTGTTGAATATGTTCATTATTCATCTTAAATATTGAATAAATCAAAGGAATATCAAATATACATATTTCATTTTTGATGAAAATTTCTTATTTTGTGTAACTTTATGCAAGTAAACATCTCTTTTACTTTTTAATGATTTGTTTAAAACTAAGTGCAAATTAGAAAATATCAAGTTTCTAAAAGAAAAAAAAATATTGAATAATTACAAATAAAGAGCAAAGGACTTTTGTATGATTTGAAACATAAAGTTTGTTGGCATCGTTAAAGCAATTATGAATGAGTTTATAGTTTACATGAATAAGAAGCTTTTCAGTTTTCACGAACATAATCAAATATATATATATAGTTTTTAAAGCAAAACATATAGTTTTAAAATGTGTTGCTTTGTTAATCAACACAGTTAATTATAAAATGATACACGAAACCAAAGATAAAAGTTACGATGAAACAAAACAAAATAGAACAAACAAGTTTGTTAAGTGAGAATTAAATGATGAAATCTTGTGGAGTCAAAATAACAATGCGTCATGATTGTTTCTTTGGAAACTTAATGACGTAATTTGATTTGACTTTTTTTAAAGAAATTTTTGATGATCAAATTTAGTGCCAAGAATTTTTTTTTTTTGGAAACAGATCTTTTAAATAATATTGTAATCTTAAAAGCGAAGTTTAAGTAGGGGAGTACTAGCTTCATTAAAAAAAATCAACAGCTACAAAAAAATGTCATTAGTAATTGCCGGTAATTACAATTGATAAATTGTTACTTTGTATCCTACTGCAAAAGAAACACGAGGCAAATTTTTTCATCACACAATACTAATTTTCTTCTCATCCTACTACTTTTGTGATCCTTTTTTTTAAATTAAGAAAAATGTTTTTCCGATTTTTTCTACTTGCCAATTTATAAAATACTCGACAGAAATATTTATTACAGTTCAAAATGTTTTTCCTTTTCTTTTCTTAAGCTAAGAAAATTTTCTCAGATTCCACTTTTATTTTTCACACTGCACGTGATAGATAAGTACCTCAAAATATTTTTTGTTAATTTTCAACGAGTCAATATGACTTATCGTTAATTTTAATGTCAAACAAAATACTGACATGCGTGTGTCAGAGAAATAAAAGTTAAGCTTACATACTTGGTCATTAAATCTAAGTATTTTTAATTAAATAATACCAAATATTAACTTACAGCATTTGAAACTTGTCATCAGATTTTCCGAATCATTCCCATGATGATAATCGTATAGAGATTTTCCGAGCAAATGTTCAGGCTTATAACCCATCAATTCAAACATTCTTAAAAGAAAAAAAAAATAAGAAAATAATTTTAATTTCTTTATTTTATGATTTCTTTGATTCAAGCCAATATTGTCAATTTAAACTTACTTAGGACTATCCACGAAACTAAACTTCATATCAAGAGTATGTTTCGTAAGGAAAGTGCTAGATCCTAATGGCACTTCAATATTTGATGGGTGTGCGAGTGGTTTAGCAATAACAATCAATTGTCTATAACCATCTTCTTTGAAGATGATATGACCTGTTAAATGAATCACCTAAAATTGTATTGGTATATTAAATTAATCTGAATATTTTAATAATTAAAACAATCAGTGATTTAGAACTGATTTAAAAAAAGTATTATTAAAGTATGTTTATGCAACTTATAAACTGCTTACTTTATATGATGCACTTTTAATGTTGACAAACCGCCCACTCTTAGTGAGTGTGCATTTCAAACGAAGCATCATGTCACGATGTAATAGTGGATTACAATCACCAGATTTTGATCCATTGACGACCTCTGATGGTGACGTTTTTCTTCCATTCAACACTTCACGCAGCTCATCATGATCACATGCGTGAGCATAATCCCAAATTGGCTGCCCTAACAAATCGATCTAAAATAAAATAAATATTATGTTTATTATTAATCCTGATATGAATTATTAAAATAAAGCAATTACCTTAGATAGTCCCAAATATTCAGATATATTTTCAGAGACATACGTAATATCGCCTTCATTATTTAATACGAGTAGAAATCCATCGAGTGCTAACAATGCGAATTTCTCATCTTCAACTAGTTTCTTCAAAACTTGAATCTTAGTTTCTTCTTCTTCTTCAACAGTTGGATTATCACTATTTTCTGCTTTATCAATCGGTATATCTAAATTTTTAATTTTCGGAACTAAAATAAATAATTATTCCTGTGATAATGTAACCATAACATTGTGAAAATCAGCTTACATAGGTCAAGCATGTTACGAATATTAAGGTATGCTATAGAAAGGCGCATGACAGATGCTTTGTCCAAATGATCAATCTCTTCTTGCTTAATAGGTAAGGAATTTGCAAGCTCGGTGAAAATTTCAGTTTCCCTCGATCGTCGGCAACGTGCGGCGTCTCTAGACTTTTCCTTCCGCTTTTCATTATTCCTTAAAAGATTTTAAAAATAAAAGAATTTATAAAATTTTTTGCACACTGGAAAACATTTTAGAAACAATTTTATGAAATTTTTTATAGACTTTAAAATTTTAAACGCAATCATGTCCAATTTAGAATCTAAATGTTGAAAAACTTATAATTATTTGTAAAAAATATATAACAGTGTACTGGATATTGTAGCCCATGCAATCAATCATTTTTTGGCAATAAAAACAAAATACCTCTTAGTGCTTAAATTGAGTAAAGCAATGTACGACAGATAAAGATAATTTTGTCTGGTTGATGTAATTTGATAGCATTTATAGCAGCTGGAAAATGATTTTTTTGTGAGCCTCTTGTGTCTTTTGAAGAGTAATGTTTCCAACACACTTAAGCAATTTTTTATAAACTTTTTACGAATAATTTAATAAATCGATTTAATGCATTTTTAACTCAGACTGAGTATTAAGTTTAGACATGTTTTTTGACACTTAAAAAGGATAGCAGTATTTTATTATCGTTTGAATTTTATAACTCCTAGTTAGACAAACACGAAATAAAAATTATTACTTTTTTGTCTAAACAATAAATAATGACTGTTGTCAAGCATGATAACGAGTAATACAAAGATAGTCATGTTAAACAATAAGAAAACTAAAAGAAATGTTGGAATTTTCAGAAATTCAAGTACTTTTTTCACTCATATGTTTTGAAGTAGTCTAACTTAAAATTTATAGTGGCTAATAATCACATAAAAATCTGTTAAAGTGATTCTTGAGTAGTTCATAAAAAACTTAAAGCTTAAAAGTTCTTATTTGAAAAAGAGTCGTGTTGACTTATTTTGCAGTATTAGATTTAAAAAAAATATTATTATTTTGATTAGTTTTTATCATTTATAAACACATCCTATAAATTAAAGACCCTAAGTCTCTATAGAAAAATTATGCATTTGATCTTTCGTGTTTATAATTTTTTAAGCAATGACTATAATGTTTGGCATTTCAGTATAAGTTTGTGTGCAAAAGCTTAAAGAAGTAGAAAAACTACATATTACAATGATATCAATATTCAAAAAATCTTTAAAACTAGTTTTTTCTTCTTATTGGTTTTTCTTCAAAATCTTATTTTTTGTTTTTAAAAAATTAATATTACCTTTGCTTCTTTGAATTTTTGAGCGGAAACGAAGCAGAATGACTAAAATTATTTGCAATACAAAAGTTTATGACTGAAAGTTTGCACCTTTTGCAAAAAACGGAATTCAAATTTGTCGAAGCATTGTTGAGAAAATTGAAAAATACGCTTAAGCAAATAATTAAGAAAGTTAATCAGCAAGAAATCTCAATAGCAAGATATCGTAGAGACTTTTAGTTTTTTGCATTCGATCCTTGCTATCTTATAGAGGAGCAGAATTGATTTTGGGCAAGGCACGAACAGCCGTTGCTTCAAAACTAGTAAAAACCCTTCCTTTCTTAAGATTTAAAAACCCAAAACTTTATAAGTTTTATAAAATTAAACTTCGAATGAAAAAAAGTTTAAAAAAAATTTAAGAATGTTGAGCACATCCATTTAGCTTTAAATCTTCAAAAATATGCTGAGCTAATCTCAGCTAGCTCGTCAAGTTTCAACTTTTAAATATATGCTGAGCCAAGCTTACTATATCGACGAAATATTCGATTTTACGGTGTGAATATATACGTATGGGGTTTCTCCCCGATACACTAGTTCGATATTGAATAACTTTTTTTATTCCAAGGTGGGTTCAATAATTTTTTTTTCAACAATAAAGTTTTCTAAAATCAAAACTGACTTGCATCACAAATTAATCCAAAATATCTCAAAAATAAAATCATAATAAAAAAAACAAAGTTCGGTGTCACCAAATTGAATTCGTTGTCAAATGAAACAAGATTCTAAAAACCTTTAAAAACAACCTTTCATCCTCATGATTTATTTTAGTAATTTGCTTATATATTTCTTAAAAAGTTTACGATAGTTTAAAAGTGGAGACTTTATAAAGTCACACACAATTCATTCATGATGTTATCTCAAATATTGTCATATTATCAAAAAAGAGAAACAGAGGAAATGATATTCTTTTTAAACATTAACAGATTCAGAGAAATTTGAAATTTTGTCTACCGTGAAATACTTTCATTAAATCTTCATCGATGATTCTATAAATTTTTAAAACTTACATGAAATCTTCCATATCTATCACATTTGAAAATTGACATGGAGCATCACCATAATATCCGTAGCATTGTGCAAAATTCCATGGTTGTGGACCACCATGGCAAGGAGGATGGGTTTGAAGTGATTCAGCATAAGCATAATTACAATTTGTTGTATACGCACTATTAGTGTTTGTAAAATTATTCGTATTGACAACGTTGCTAAGAATGTTGACAGATTCCGTAGCATTTGAATAAAAATTAGACTGATTAATGTTTGGTTGTTGATGCATTTGATATGATTGTAAAGAAGCATTTTCATTGTTATTTTCATAGAAATTACTAGGCACAACACTATCACCAAAACTATTGAAATTAGCACTAATGTTGTTATAATATTGATAATTTTCATTGGGATTATTTTGAATTTGCTGTTGTTGCGGATATTGCTGATGATTTAGATTAAAACTTGCATGGTCATTATTGTAGTTGTTAATTTGATAATTGCATTGATTTGAATTTTCACATTCAAAATTGCAATTATCATCACAATGGTAGTAAATATTATTTGTATTCATTTTAATGCAAAAATCAACAGTTTTGAAATTTTAAACGCACTGCAGGATTACACAATTTATACTAAACTCTTCAATTGAAAAATTTCTTTCCCTTAACTCTCTTCTTTTTATTCCTAGTCGATAATTTCCGATAAGCCTCTAATAATACAATAATTTTAATCGCCAAATTGATAATTACTTAAGCACGAAACAGAAGCTTAAAGGGAACTATACAGATACATAAGATTTTAAAATACGGCAGCTACATCTCTCTGCTATTTGCTCAATTAATAACACAAGTAGATTCACATTCTTATCGCAGAAAGTCTGATAAGATATCTCGCAAAATGAAGAGATTTTTTTGCTCTTAAAATGACTTGAACAAATTATTTTTGCTTTTTATTAGCAAACTTAATCATGCAGAAAATAATATTGATTCTTGAGTTCTGTACAGAATTTAAAAGTTAAAATATATTCATCGATAGTACTACATACATTCAAAACGAACCTTATTTGTTTTCATATTTTATAAACAATAATAATTTTATGTTGAGGATGCAAATAAGTCTCAAAGCTCAAGATCAAAAGTGTAAAAATAATTGTATTCGATTTGAACATGACTGTATTGAGGATTTTGAAAGAATAATATATCTACATATAATTAAATCAATTTGTTTAATTTCAAAGCAATAAATTGCAGCTATATTAAACAACTTTAATTGCATGTGAGTTGAAAGTTTGTAGATTCACTGTATATATTAACGGATATTAACTAGTGGTGGTTATGGGTCCATAAAACTAAAATCAGAATGGTTTATCTATCTCAAAACCAACTTGAAACCAACCATTAAATACTTAAAATAATTTTTTTAATAATTTAATAATATTTAGCAATTTGCTTGAAAAGTCACTATTCAAAAACAAAAATTCAGAACGAAGAAACAACATTAGGTCAAAAAATATTTAAGTTACAATTCCATGCTAAAGTTGTTTCCATAATTATCTTTAAATAGCTTTAAAATCTTAATTTGAATCGAGAACAGTCAATAAAGGATAAAGTTCAGCTTTTTGTATGAAATTACATACTTCATAATTGCAAAAACATAGTCTTGGTAGAAAGTAATCAAGTTTTAGCCAAAATATGTACTTCTGATTTTTTTTCATGAAACCATGCAATGCTCTCGTGAGTGAATCAGGTTTAAAGTGAACTATAGGAATTAAGTTCTCGATATAGTCGTTAAAATGAAAGGTCCATGACAAGAGTAAAACCGAAATTTATTAAACTTGTCTATCTTTCAGACGTTTACTCATCAAACATTTTCTTTATAGATGCAATTTAAAATTCTATAAAAATCGAGAAAAAGGAGGACCAGGAAAAATATTTTCTTAAAGAAAATAGGTCATTGAACATACGCACTGACACACACATCGTACGCTTTAGTATTTGACGTTTTATGTGAAGTGTTTTTTTCACTTAAAAATTTCTTCACAGAAGAAAATAGACAAGCTTTATAAGTGTGTAGTATAATAATAAATTCCTTTGACGTCATAGCATGTAGAAAAAAAGTATACAGAGAGTCCAGAGATAATGTGTACACATTTTCAGTATGCATATTTTATATTGTATAGAATTGTAAATTTGCTTTTAAACAAGAGTTTTAAACACGCGCAAAAATAATAATTAGAACGAAACAAGATTTTTGAGCGAAAAAAATCGAAGCTTGTCACATTCGTTTACTTTAAATCTTATTGGTGTATGATTTCAGCAGCTTTATGAATCTATTGTTTTAAATAGATATAATCTTTTTGTTTCCATGTCATATGATTTGGACATGAAATATATGTTTACATGACACATCATGCTTTATTTATATAAAGATAATAATTTTACTATGGTCTCAATTCTAATTTTATTACCCTAAGTAATGCAACAAGTTTCAATAATTTTTTTCGAACTATCTTGTTTATTGTGTCTTTTGAATTTATCGTTACAATTTATATGCGAGTTAAAAAGTTCTTTTTAGTTTTTTGAACAAATCAAGTCTAAAGCTTCCTTGACCTTAAAAAATTATTTTTTTCTTGAAATTCATAGCGTAGACCGAAAAAAAAGAAAAAAATTTGCTACACGTGTTTCATTCTTGTTTTTATTATTATCGCTTTTAGCTTCCATATTACCATTTAATGACAATGAATTAGAGATAATTTCTTTGTGTATGCTCAGAGTATTTTTCTTTCGTCTTTGTATTAATAAAGCTTCTCAAAAGTTTCGTCATCATATTTTAAAATTCTAGAAAACTTCAGATAAACTTCTTGTTTGGTTTTGAAATGAGGATTTGTTTTTACAATCTAAATTGCTATTCATTTTAGGAACCTACCCTTTTACGTTGTGTTAACACATGTATAAGAGTATCTTTTTTCAAAAAGTGCTAAACATACTAATATTGAATCATGGCAAGAATACTAGAAGATTCTTTTCTTGACTATTCAAGTCCAATAAATTGATTGTGGACAGTACATAAAAATGTATGCTCGAAAATTAGTAAATACCAGAAATATATATACAAAGAAATATTTTTGAATGTAGTGGTTATTACTAATAAACTACCACAAAAGAAATGAAAGAAACAAGTAGTAGTTCATATTTTTTTATGTCTTACATCAGAAACCAAAAAAAAAATGTTATCAAGTCCAAGAAGAAAAGTTCAATCATAATTTGCAGGTCAACATCATTTAAAGAAGAGAATTATAAAAACATAATTTTGACACTAGCTTGCTATAGCTGCTGTCAAATTGATATTAATCAATTTTAGAAATTATTTGTATTATAAGATATTGATATTCCTAAAACCTTTATTTTTGATTTCGTAAGGATATTCATGAGATAACACTTGATTATTAACCACTCATTGGTCATTTGACACTTGAACAAATAACGACTTTAAAATCTTTCCTGTCATTCGTATTGTTTGTTTGTATATCTATATAGCAAGAAAAATGCATTTTCTGCATATTACATGCTGGTTATATATAAACTGGTTTTTGTCTCATTTTAATATGTATATTTATAACTATAACCTTTTTTTTTGTTGTTGCTGAGGCTATACAAGTAATGTTTATTAGTTGAAGGACAATATTAATTGCAAGAATAAGTGTGAAAATAATTGAAGTATTTTTTTAAGGAAATTCAAATTTCTTATTGAAATATCTGACTTTAGATCGAAATGAGTAAGGGATAAAGAAGGTGATGATAAAGTGAAAAGAAAGGAAGAATGAGCGAGTGAAGTAAAAACAATTTGACAGGTCTATGGAGATCGACATAATTCCATTGATTGTAATTTATATAAAGAAATAAACTGTTTAAAACATAAAATTATTTTTTTAATTTGTTGTGGAGTTATCTTTTATACATTTAAGTAACACAAAGTCATATGAAGATAAAAAGAGAAAATTTTACACAATCACATACATTTGGACATTTACTTATGTATGATTTTTTTTAAAAAAAAATCATATGGCTTATTTCTTTTATCAATTTGCTTCTTTTCAATTACATTTAAATCCATCAAATTTATGCTAATAAATCGTTCTCTATCTTTTTGAGGATATTGTAATAAATTGAGATTGTTTCTTAACTACAATGTATTGTATAATCGCATTTACCTCCGCTTTTCCTTTTCCTTTGGTTTTTGGATAGCAGTATTGGCAATAGCCTTCAAATTTGCTGATGATGATTCAAAATCCAAATTTCTATTTATCTTGCACATTTTTCAAGCACATAAATATATTTTTGTAAATCACTTCACTTGATTATAGCCTAATCTTTATCTGTCACTGGTTTTTAAAAGAGTCGACAGATTGACACAATCAAAATATTATTTTTCCTTCACTCGTGAAATTGTTTTTATTGAAATTCAATCGTTCACTTTCAAATCAATTTTAAGCTCTTTTGGACACTGCCAATCAGATGCTCATTAGATTTTTGGTTTTATTACACATTCATCTAACTTTTGTGCTCTTTTTCAGCACTCATTTATCAATTCTAAATATTTATTTTGAATTATTTTATCATCTCCAAAAATTTATAATGGCGTTTTAATTTTGAAAAGTTGTCCCGATATTTTCTCCTATAGACACAAATTGCCTACATCGTTATAAATACTGAAAATAAAAACTTTTCAAGTTTTAACAACTTATTTGAAAAGTTTCAAATAATTAACTGTTGAAAAGTTTCATATTTTAAATTTAATAACATTTGAATTTTTTTTAAAAAAATGAAACTTAAAATTCTAAAGTATAATAAAAATACTCAAATTTAAAAAATGTGGCGATTACATATTGGAGAATTTAAAAAGACATCTATTTAACTGGTTTTTGTGAAAACCTTACAATCAATATCACCCAAAATAAAAACAATCTAAAGTTCTTTATTCTCGACATTCCTTTATTTATGTAGAATTTTTTTTGTATATTTTTTAAATTTGTAATTAAAATCAATTAGCGAGAGCAAATTAATATTAAATGAAACCTTTTTGTAGTTTTCAATCTTGATATCATAACTCCATTAATTTAATATCAAACTTCCACTAGCGTAGCTAACGCTAGAATCGTTTTGATTGTTGCACTTGTTACTTTGTGCATATCTCAAAAATTTAAAGCTCAATTGATAATTTTGTTTCATCAAACTTTTGATCGATTGTAAAAATATTCCTATTGGATGACGTCCACAAATTGTATTCTCATATTTTTTTAAGTAAGTAGTAAACGATTCCGGATTTAATGTTTCAATTAAATCCATACCCTAAAAAATATGAAGAGAAATTATTATGGTGTAAAGGTTGCTTAATATGACATAATTTTTGCAACTATACTTACACTTTTATCCAAATTTTCAATCGACTTCCATATTGGACCTGCTGACTTGTCATAATGTTGGTAGCGAAAGCGACTACCCCAATGACAAAAGTCAGACGAAATTACAAACAAGTTTTGAGGATCTGCGAGATATTTAGCGAATATATCTCCATAAACTTTTTCAACCTCTGGTGAAAAGGATCCAATCAAAACTAAAATAAATATTCAGTAAATTGAGTTATCTTTAATTGAATAGTGTGAACCTAGATTACCTGGAACTATCGTAAATTGATCTTTAAAGTCTTCCATCACCTTAGCAATATAAGGTAAATGCATTTCAATGCTATGCTCATCTTCATCCGTTTTCATATCCATCCATTGAAATTCTTTCGTTGCGTCTAATTCTGCAACAACTCCTGAATCGATTTTGAGATCATAAAGCGGTGTTTGATACTTTTTACAAATTGTTAATGCACATTTTCTTAGTCTGACATGATGCGATGGACCAAGAATGAAAATTCTTTTTACAGTTGCAGGACTAATTTGACGATACGCCCACGCTGCCGTTTCCCCAGAATAAGTATAACCAGCATGTGGCTGTATTATTGCCAAAAAAATAATAATATAAAAAAAAATATGTGATCAAAAGAGTTGATGTAAAAGTATAAAGCAAAAATTACGGCAATTATTCCTCGCGCCGGACCATAACTAAGTTCCGCTTTATTAAGCCAATGATCAAGTTGATTGTTAAGCTCAGCACCTGAAATCGTAAAATTTAATATATCGCTGAATATATTTTTCATTATTCTTTTTTTATTACTGATCTTAATCTGAACATTCTGAATCAAGATAATATTTATTTAATTCCCCGATTTCATCTTCATTACAGTCATCATAGCTTGTCTCATCATCTAAAGATTCAGTGACTAAATCATCTAATTGATTTGCTGAATCTTCAATTTCTTTTTCAAACCGATTCATTTCTTCATTTACGTCTTGTGTTAATTTTACAAATTCATCCTGCTGTTCCTTTAATGATTCAATATCAGTTTGAAGACTATTCATAATTTTTAACAATTTTGTTATGTCTGGAAACGAAGTCTTAATCTTTTCATCGTCTTCGTGAATTTTAGAACGAAGTTTTTGGATTGACTCATCAATTGATTTTGCTCCGAGAATTTCATTAACATCTTTGACGTCAAGATTTGAAAATATATCACTAAGTGTCTGATTTTCTTTGCTCTCATACACATTTAAGTAATCAAAATTAATCTTAGAGAGTTCTTCATTTGCTTTGATAAAAATCTCATAAGACTTTTGAAATTGTTTCTTCATTTCACCAATCCTCGATTCAAGAGGCATCGGTTCAGTCATTTGATTCTTATCCATTATTATTTCCTACTTTTTTAAAATTGAACAAATTTAAAATTGGCGACAAAACAATTTTTTTCTTTTGAATTGTTTGTTTTCATGAAATAAACATTTTTTTGTTGCGTAGGTGATTAAGATTAATGAGGATATTTACTATGCTGTATAATGTACAGCTCATAAGCATCTATGAAGTAACACTTTCTAATGAAAATTATGCTCTTTTTTTATTATTTTTCATTCAGAATGTTCTTAAAATTACAACGACCACTTATTTAGATATCATTTTTTTGCTTACCATCCGATGTATACCAGCTACCAGCATGACTAGCAACTCTTACAGACATATTTAAAATTACTTTATTATTCACAATCTAAGAAGAAATTTTTATAATAAATTTTATTGTAATTTTTTTGTTCGAATTTTTTTAATAAACAGTAAAAATTGTAGTGTTTTTAAATCGGTTTGAATTTTAGAAATCTGTTAAAATATTACGAGAGCGAGATCAGCTGCTTAGTTGTTTAAATTAAATTAAAAATCTTTCCCTTAACACGCATTTTTAGACCTTTCCCTTCTTTATACAAAGTTTGTATGAACAAAAATTCCATTGTTTGAAGAGTTTCAAAATACTAGACCACCCCCCCCCCCCCCCCCCCCTCTTTTTTTGTTTAATAGTTTAATATGATGTATAATCAAGATTAAAGCTTTGATTATAGAAAACATAATCTAATGAAAATCAGTCAATAAATATATCTCAATGATGAAACATTTCTTAAATAAAGATGTTTTTTAAATTAAACTTTTTTATTTATTTACATTTAAATTTAAATATGTGTAAAGTTTTTATACATTTTGTGTTTCTATACTTAATTTTTGTTTTATTTTAGAATTTAGCTTTATTTGATTTTTTAATTTGATTTATTCTGCGTTTTGAAACGCAAGACGACTGTTGAAGTTCGCTTGCAACTTTACAACGTAGTCTTCGATGGACGGGATTTTCGCTTATGTATCAAGATCGGTGATCCTTTCATATCTTGTTTTATTGAGAATAATTCTCAAGAATTTGTTTTGCAGTACTTGAAGTTCTTGGAGGTGGGTTTTTGCCATGCTTCCAAATGCTGGACAACCATATGTGAATATTGGTCTGATTGCTAGCTTGTAGATTTTAAATATAGTATAAACATAAAAAAAAATTGATTTACATTTCAATGTTTTAATTTAACTGAAAATAAATATTAAAAGATTTTTTTAAATCATTTATATCCATAAATATCTTAAACTTTATGGAAGTTGTCGTAAATCTATATTTTTGGTCTATAATAAGGTGGGCTAGGCCTGAAATTTCAATAACCTCTTAACTTTTGCTTTTCTCTTAAAAGTATTAATTATAAAATTTTCTTTTCAAATCTAGTAGATTAACTTCAATATTTGCTCTAATTCTCAAACTAATAAAGATATTAAAATCAAGAATAATTTACTTTAGTAAAAAACGGCCCTTTGAGTAACAACTTCCTTAATCATACAATCATTTTGAAATTGAAGCTTAGTTATGAAATTAATCATAAATTTAGAGAAAACGATAAAAAGATAATCTTATTTAAGTTATGTTTTGACATAACAAAAACATGATAGGATATGAAATGGATAAAGCATGTGGGTGGTCAGAGAAATGAAATCCGTTTGCAAAAATTTACAATTATTAGTAAATTAGAAACGGTGTAAAGTTGATATATTTAATGTAAAATTGATTAAATTTTTTCCATTTCTTTTTTGCATTTTGTTCTTTCACACGGCATGAAATGAATGTTTTCTATAATTATTGGCTGTTTATCAAATTTGCTTACCAATTTGCTTCACATTGATTGTTATAGTAGAAACAGAGGAGAGATTTGTTATAAGCCAATTATATATCAAGCAAGAATCAAGAATTTGTATGATTGTTAATATATCAATTCGTCACATATAAAAAATATTTATAGGAGATTTCATCAACTTTACGAATTACTGCTCTCTCAAACTATTTTAAATATTTAATCCTTTTTGTGTGTTCATTAACAATCAGTTCAGTCAATTCAACTTATTCCTACCGAACAAAAAAAAAAAAATAAGAGTTTACCATCATCCAAATTATTCAATTTTTTACAACGATCGCTTGATTGAAACATCAAAATATATCTCTGCAAATGCTCAGCATGATAGCTAATTGAAAATAAAAGAGAGAGAGAGTTATTGATTCTTTTATATTTAAATTTTGTTTTGTTTAAAATACCTAAATAGAAGAAAATATAAGTTGAAAAATTGCCTCAAAGAGGTTTTTTTCCAAAGCATTTTTCTCGCATTCATTGATTGGTCAAGCCACTCAAGATTGATCCTAAAAAATCTGAAAATCCCAAAGTAGAAATGGTTGAATTTTTATTAATATGTTAATTCCGACAAAAATGAATATTGATCATTTCAGGATTTTTATATATTTTTTTGCATTGTATTGTCTTACAGGCAATTACAAAATGATATTAAAAAGGATTCAGGGATGCTTGGTGATATTTCAAAAAAAAAAAAACATTTATAAAAATTTGGACTATAGACAGTTTGGTAACAAGTACTAAAATGTGAAGATTTTGTCATGCAACTTGTTGGCAGATTGTGCTTAAAATTATTATAATGATAAATAAATAGGAAGAAGAAACAAAAGTTAATAATTGAAGCAAGAAATATAAATCGACGGAAATTGAAATAGCCACAGAAGAGTAAAAGGAGAATAAAGTTTGAACGGCAGCTAAAGCTGCGCATTATAACAATTAAAATGTTTCGTGGGAATGAAATGTTTGCCCAGGCAGAGAGGCACATGGCAAAAAAAAAAAACGAAATATAAAATTAAAATATGGAAACTTTCTAAATGATATTTACGTATAAATGCAAATTGTATTCAAACTTCAGTCAAAATTGATTGTGCGAACTTATAGATCAGGTAATATCATTAGTCTCTTTTTCTTCTTTCAATTCATTCCATTTCTATTTCTGACTGATGAATTTCAAATTTCGTGTAAGTCTTAATATAATTTATATATAAATTTATTTTAAAAAAAAACATAATGTAACATTAAAATGCTTTTTAGAGTACACAAAGGAGAAATAAGCCAATCTCTCATCTCATGCTGGTCCTATATCGGATGAAGCACCATATAGGCAAGAAGCAAAAAGAGAGACAGATGAAAGAGAGAAGAAATTTTTTGAAGAACAGAAAAACCTCTTTACACGAAAATATAATAAGTAACAGCAAAAGGCAACAAATACACAATGTACAATATAGGTGAGCCAACGGAAAACCACAAGCGATCAAAATATAATTGATCAAACTGATCTAATAATTTTTTTGTTAACCTGCGGTTCAAAGCAGCTCTTTCAATTACTAATTTCTATTTGTATAAATCAATATTTGTAATATTATATTTGATTGTGTATGGTTAATAGATAATACCACAAGAGTAGGCAATACAAGCGGCAAAAGTCTCTTAATACATTTTAGTTTTTTTTTTCTATTTTAGTCGTTTTTTTGTTCATTTTGCTCCATAATGAATTGAAGAATAATTCATTATAAAAGAAATTTGTAACGAAACTAAAAATAAGATTTATGACTTGATATTTTTCATTCAATTTTCACTGGATTCTCATGGATGTATAAATAAATAAAACAATTTTTTGCTCTGAATTGTTATCTCTCTTCTCTCAAGTAGTTTGTAAGCATTTCCAATTGAAAATGTAAAACGTGATCGTACCATTTTATAATAAAAAGATTTGTACACGGAAAATAATTTTTTTATAGACATTCCTTTAAATGTTTCTTCTTTTTGTGTGCATGCCTCTTTCAGACAGTGCGCATGAGTTTTATTTTGATTGTGCCAACTGATTGGGTGGCTGACTGAAATGCATAGTATTGGAAAAAATCAGCATCTTTTTGAAAGAAAAATCAACAAATAAGAAAATTATTAATTTAGTAATTCATATTATTAAATTAGGCTCATCGTAGCATGTTGATAGTGTCTCCTCCTGTATTCAAAAGTTATCTAGGAACATGCTGAAAATTTTCTTTTACAAAAAAGCGTTCATTACTTTTTGTCATTCATTTTTATTTTCATTGATGACATCCGTACTTGCTTTGTATTTTTTCGCTGTTTGTGCGGCATTGTGGGTTTTGGTTGGAAAGCATCAGCAGTAATAAACTAACTGAACACACTGTAACAAAAGACAAATTCAATTTCGTTTAATCTTTTTTCTTATTTTTTCAAAACTATCTCAGTTATTCATTTACATCTTTATTAAGCTATCATTTTCACAAAAAATAAAAGACTTTACATGTATCTGTTAAAACATTTTTTTTCCATTGCTTATTGTCCAAGTTCTTTTCTCTTAAAAAATTTCAACTTATTTTTTTTCATACTATTAACATTAATTTTTTAAATACTGGCTATTTTTCATATCTATACTCACTACTCACTACATTCATAAAATTAAGGAAACTATTAACTTAAAATTAATTACTCTTATTATTTCGTTAATCTACTTCTTCAATAGTAGAGTCTTCAAATAAAGAAGGTAAAGAAAAAAAATAATTTTTTCTTTCTTTAATTTAAATGGAAAAAATGTACTACAAATGGAAGAACTGACAGTTTTCGTCTTATAATCATTTATCAAACAAGAAAAGAAGAAGAATTCTTGAAGAAATGTAAGAATTTATAAGTTGTTGCCTATTCAAAAAGTACGGGCGCATTAGAGACAGTTAAGGGTTTCATTTCGTCACTACTTTACAATTTTATAATGAAAGGCACCTTATTCTTCTTCATTTAACTTTTTCATCTCTCTCTCTCTCTCTCACTTTTTCTTTGTTTTTTATAAATTATATTAAAATTTATATTCTATTTTTGTTCATTTATTTCACTGAGACGACGAAATGATGGAATGATTAAGAAGCGGTAATAATAAATACAATCAACATCATCTCACAAAATAAAATTAATTAAATAACATATTGGGCTGAGGACTTATTTTCTGGAGACTTTACATACTCAAAATTTTGTGAAAATGTAAAAAAGTATGGCGAACATTAAAAAAAAATACAGCAAATGCCTTGAAAAATAAAGAAATTTGACAAAAAAAAATGGTTTCAATTTCATATCTATCTATACACAGTCATAGCTTCACAAATGTTAGCATATTAATTTTTTCTATTTACAATAAATTTGACTTATTTTCAAAATCTATCCTTTTGTCAAATTCTCAATAGTGGATTAAAATATTAAGAGAAATATTTCGTCTAAAGAATTCATGGTAATACTGAATTATTTTTTAAAAGCTAAAACAAAGTGTACCAAAAACAGTTTATCAACCCAATAAGATCTAAAAGAAAGATTTTAAAATATAAAAAAGTTCTTAATTCAATTATATATGCAAGGTGAGCGTATCGTTTGAATTATTTATAGTTTGATGTGTATTGTTGCTACTATTGTAATTATGTTGATGTGCTTGTGATGTTGCTGTTGATGGAGAGAAGCATTTAAAATCAACCTTATTTAATCTCTTATCGAAATCTTTATTCGTTTGCTGGCTTTCAATTGTATTTTTATCTACATCAAAGTTCTGTGTCTTCAAGTACAACGATTGAGATGAGAAAGGAATGGCTTTTGTCGTCTCAAAATCATTCGAAAAGTCTTTTGGTGATTTAAATATTGACAATTGGGATCGATTCAATCCACTTGGACCGGCTAGATCATGTATAGGATTTAATTCAACGTTTGAACTGCGCAATGAGCATGTTGAATTTTTTAATGGATTTGCATACCGTCGAAAATTTTCTTCGTTTTGCAGATTATTTGATTTTTCTTCATCGTGACAACGGGTGGTATCAGTCGTCACTGAAAGATCTATTTCTGATTGACGGGAACAAATCGGATGATTTGAATACCACAGGCATACGGTGTATGTAATAGAACTTATGATTAATAGAAGTATGCCTACAAAAACTATGAGTAAATAAACATCATTATTGATGTTTTCATTAATTATTGCTGTCTCAACTTTAATTTCAACTATTGCATTCAGTGCTTCTATCTCGGGATAATCAATTATGTGTGAATCCTTTAAATAAAATTTTGGGCGAGATAGTAACTCTCCCAACATTGCAACTACATTTTGTAAAATCGTTGTCGACTCATCATCTGATGACTGTAAAGAAATAAAAGAAAAGAGAAAGGTGTCATTAAACTTAATTGGCAAATTTGTTAAACATTAATTGTTTTTAACATATTTATCAAAATTGAAGGATTATATATTTGTATCCTTATCCAATCAGCATTCAGAAAGAATTTATTTTCTTGGTAATTTTAAAATAAAAAAAAAATAACAAAATAATCCTCATTTTTGCTATAACACTACATGAGGTGAAAAAATTTCTTAATTTATCAAGAAATCTTTCCTTTTTTCTTATGTTGAAAAGTAAATGAAATGAAAAAGCTTAGATCGGCTTAACAAGACATAAAAGCTTAAGTCACTTACCACAGTCACTTCAATTGTATCGTTTGTTCCCGATTTTATATCACAGATTAAAATGATTGCTGAATGGGAAAATATTTTCTGCTCCAACATTCGTCCGCCTATGAGCGTTCTCAAATTATGACAATAACTTTCAGTTGATAATCCTTTTGATATTTTAAGCATGTCTAATATTATGTTGATACGTGAACAATTTTCACTTAAAATTGCTTGATTTGGCCAACATTTATTTGATGTTGGATATTTAGGTGGTGCTGTTCTCAGCGATTGCTCTAGTATGCGGCAATCGCCACGTCTCACACATGGCGGTAATAGGCATGTTTCCTTTAATGCAGGAACACAAACCTCATTATAATTGCACTCATGTACAATTAAATTTCCTATTTCACGTTTCTTCTTGACTCCTCGATCATTACTTAAGCAATTTGGTAATCCACACCATAGATTTGAACATTGTGTCTCATTATGCTCACCAATTATACAGGAATTACACAAATTCGACTCATCGACGACGTTATTTTCAGTAAAGGAACGGTGTTGCTTGAGCGGTGCATTTGAAAGCACTAGACCGAAGGAAATATAAAGAATTTCATTTTATTTTATTTAGTCTTTTATTTTACATAAAGGGAATTTAAACTATCGCATCGTGCATAACAAGGTAAGAATGGAAAAAAGTATAAGTATAAAAGAAGAAAGGAAAACAAAGAATGAATAGGTGATAATCATTAAAATATACTTACAAATCTCACATCTTTTGCCTCGTTTACTTGGCGGACAAATGCATTTAAAATTTCCAATACCATCGATGCATGTTGATCCCTCAGCACATGGCTGTGATGCACATTCGTTTATATTAATTTGGCAGGTTAAACCATCAAAACCGTGTGCACATGAACATAGAAACCAAGTTTCGCCTGATTCACATGTGCCATTATTTTTACATGGACTCGATGAACATAAATCAGGCGTTTTATTGTCGCAATTTTTCGAACGGCACTCGTAAATATCAATTTCACATAACGTTCCGTTGTATCCAGCTTCACATTTGCAATAAAACTCGTTGATCTTGTCAATGCATTCGCCTCCATTTTGACACGGTGAGTTGGCACACTCGTCAATGTCTATCTCGCAATTTGGTCCACTATAACCGGGAGCACAATTGCATTGATAATCGTTTATCAGATCGACACAAGTGGCGCCGTGTTTGCAAGGAGAGCTTTCGCATTCATCAATATCTGGTTTATTGGTTTTCATTATATTACATACGATTTTAGTTTTTTGTTATTATTATTATTCGAATTCGTTTGACGAGACATGAGAAGAAATGAGGTAAAAAGAAAAAAAAAATGTTGATAAAAAATTAAATATTTATGTTGTGTTACAGAATGAAAGGTTTTTTTTATTATTTACTTTGTTCACATTGTGTGCCTGTAAAACCTGAAGCGCATTTACACACGTAGTTCGTCTCATTATTCGTCTGTGTGCCAATAGCTAAAGTATTTTTTGTATCTATAGTTCGCACAGAAACTGGGGCTCCCATTGAGCTACCTCCACGATAATATCTTGCCGATGGTTTTTTAGTAATGTTTAATGCTGATGGATCTTTGACTATGCATGTTGCACTGTTTTGGCATGGCGTCGTTGCACATGGATCCTCAATAATATCACATCGCATTCCCGATAAACCTTCAGGACAGCTACAATTAAATTTCTCACCACCTAAATGATGACAAGTTCCTCCATACATGCACGGTGTATGAGTTCCACAATAATTTAAATCTGAACATTTGTGTTTTCATTGGATGATGTAGAAATGTTATAAAATAAGAAAAAAAATAAACATTAATTAAAAAAAACCAAAAAAAAAAGAATTCAGCAGATGATATCATTTTTACATGCTAAAAAAGTAACAAATGTATGATTTTTCTTTTCCTCTGTGTGTGCTGTGCTATGTGTTTTTTCTCTCATCTTGAATGATCACATTTAGCGCAAGTTTTGTTTCACATTTGTGTGTGCGAGCCAAAAGAATTTAATTTTATTTATTTTACAGACTTTTATTCAATACGTGCTCTAATGTGTTTGCACTTTGCTCGATTGATTTGAATCAATACTTTCAGATTTTATCAAACTTCTGCTTTTTTACGAGTGCTATTTAATTAAAATCTTTATTGAAATTAAATTCAAAAATGAAGATTTTTTTCTGCATGTTTTTTGAGAATCATTTTGAACTAGTGGTATGAAGGACCCGTTACTTGCCTCGTACTTAATAAACAATCAGAATTCTATAGTTATCAAAAAAAAAAAACCACCATAAAATTCCAAAAAGTATATTTTAAAACATCAGAACGCTACATATCCTCTCCATTTCAATGCAATTTGCATAAAAAGTCTTTTTTCACAATCAGAAACTCAAAACGAACAAACAAGATTAGGTCAAAAATATTTAAGTTAGAATTCCATGCTTAAGTTCTTTGCTATGCTCAATATCTATAGAATACATAATGATTCATAGAAAAGCTTCAAAATTTTAATTTGGAATTGAGAATTCTAGAAAAAGAATAAAGTTCTGATTTTTGTTTGAAATTACATGCTTCAAAATTTGAAAACTCAGTCATGGTAGAAAGTGATCAGGTTTTAGCCTAAAATTCCTTATATTTTTCATATAAGCTTGGAGGCATCAGTCTCTCAGCATTTAAGAGAACTACAGTAGAGATTTTTTGCGAAGAAAGTTGGAGATATACAACCTTATATATTTGTCCTAAATTTAATTTAACTATCACTGATTTATTAAACCGATAAAAAGAAACTTTAAACAAATTTATTTGCATTTTTTTCATTTCAAAAATTTTAATGAAATATATTATGTTGAAAGTAATAAAGTTTATTTTGAAATTGAGTTAAAGAAAAGTCAATTTGAGACTTTTGCATTCAATTCATTAATTAGTCTTCGAGGAAACAATATTATCCAATCAAAAGAGCTCTGCAATCATTAGCTGAAAATCAAATTCTTGTCTTATATTTCTTACATAAACTGATTAAGCGGAATCAAATAAAAATAAAATTCAAAATTTTGTGTATCCTTAATTTATATTAAGAAGGCCAATGTAACCAAAGAAATAAGAGAAATATATCTTTAGCATTTACGAAACAGCTCCGTTTTGAGTGAATTGAGAACAAACTACGCGATACAGCAACGCTATCAAAAAAATTTCTCCGACGGTAAAATACATTATTGATTTTTAAAAGAAAATTAAAAATTAAGTTAAAATGAAATGTTCAATAAAATATTTTTTTATAGTTTAATTACGTGAATTAAATCACTAATTTATCGCGTTTCAAATTTAATCGGATCTTAAAATAGTAATTTCATAACAAGTGTATTTTCCGCATCAAAATACAATGTGAGAGATTCAAAGTGTAATAATTTAAAATGATTTTAAAGTTTATGATTATTCATATCTCTTTCATACTTTTACGATTCAACATGTGAAATATTTTAAAATTATATGCATTTTCAAATATATTACAACTTTCACCCCTCTCTTTTGTGAACATTTAAACACTTGAACATACTGTGAACTATTTTACTCTTCTTTCGAGCTTTAAAACTATATGAATAATTGTATTACGGAAAAGTAATACATTATTGAAAAACAAAAGCTGAAGAAATGAAGCAACGAATCATGTAAAAAAAAGAGTAAACCATTAAAATAGAAATTTATGATGTGCGCTTTAATTTATATCTTTTGTCATTGATAGAAATTGGGTTATCTTCTCTGAGAATCGAACACTTGGCAGAAAATTGAAGTCATGTGCTGATTTGATGGCGAAGATCAACAAATAAAAATTAATAAACTGCATAGTTGATTTGAAGGGATGATGCCGAAATATGACACAATGCCCTAAATATATCCTTTATGAATTTTGATTCATTCACCTTTTTTGTAACAGACTTTTTATTGTCATACTCTACATATTGTGGTTAGTTACCCTCCTAAGCCGCAACAGTTTCTTTCCTGCACACATTTGTATATTGAGATACTTGATCAGAACATGAGGGTTGATTGCATAACAATAGGATTGAAAATTGAATAAACTGTATCACAGACAGAGAGTTTATAAACTATTAACTTTGAGAGGGGCTTAACATACACTTATTGCACATGCTATCAATTTCCTGGTCATGAAAGTTCATCATTGCATGAAGTGAAAACAAGTATAAAACCGCTATTTTTTTTTTAAACTAAAAACTTAATAAGCAAAATAAAAACTGTAAAATAATGAACACCGTAAATTTTTTTCAATTCATTTTATATGACTTTAAATTAAGTTAAAATTTCAAATATTCAAAATATTGGACAAACAAGGCTTGGAAACTATCCCAAATATCCCATTTATCACAAATATCCCAAAAATATTCTTAGTGTATTGGACGTGTAATTTCAGGATATGATGGGATATCTCAATTCTAATATAGGATATGTGGGATAAATATAATATTTGGGATAGTTTCCACGCTTTGAGACAAACTGTACTGCAGAAAAATTGTGAATTGACAAAATGATGCTAATGCAATGTTCTCCTTTTAAAAATAGTAATAGAATTTGATCCGCTTGAGCAATTGAGCTGATTGTCATTGATTATGATAGAATCATGTGGTAAATTACATACGAGAAGGGATTTTCCTTGTGCAAAGTGAATTTTTTTTTTTTTCATTTTTTATGAAAGAAAAATAAATTTTGTCTCGAGGGAGATTTATATTTTTCTCCTAACTAATCTCATAATTTTATTAACACTTGTTCCGATTGCTCTGTATATATTTTAGGTTTGGCAATGTTATATCCACTCAAAGTGAAAAATTAACACATGTTGCAATTAAACAGCAAAGAAATGAGAATTGAAAATTAGAGGAATCATATCATTTTATAAGAGATCAAATACAGTTTATTGTACTTACCATTATCGCATAAAATCCCACCCCAGTTTGTTATACATATACATTCCCATGGCCTCGTGCAGAAGCCATTTTTGCATCCAGGATATGTCATGCATTCGTCGCATCGCGAACCTTTATATCCATTCCTACATTCACAGACACCTGCGCATTACAGAAAAAAAAAATATTATTAATTTTAAATCGATTCTGCGGTTTTTTGCAGCGTGCATTTCCAAAAACATTACCTGGACTTTTGCACATTCCGTGCACACATCCTTCCAAACACAAAGGTTTATCACATGTTTCACCGCTCCAACCCTCAAGACATACTTTTTGTCCTTTGCTGTTGCATGTATAATGCCCGAATTGATCATTTCTTGGCTTACACAATACGGTGCATGTAGAATTATAATAATTTTTATCACATATCACACGAATTTTATACTTAATACGAGCATTTTTGCTCAATTGATTACTATTATCTAAAATTATCCAATCGGATGGTGGAGAGATGGTTCCAGAATACGCTACTTCCTCAATGATTCCTAATTGTAAAAAAAGAGTTGAAAATCAAGTTAACTTCAAATCAAATTTAATTCAATGAAGAATGTTAAGAACACTAATTCTAGATCACTTAAATGTGTGATAGAAGGATGACGAGTACAGAACGTATAAATGGGAAACGTAAAAATATTCTCATTATACGATCACGGTAAAGGAAGAAATGAAGAAAAATTCTAAGATGTGTAATAATAAATCATAATTTTACGGTAATTTACCTGGTGACGATGAATTCCTGTACATGTCCAATGCTTGAAGTATTAACGAAAATGATTGCTGATGAGATTAAATTGGTCGATCGTGATGTGTTTGCGTATAAATAACGTAAAGAATTGGTTCGATTGTATTGTATTGTTGTTGTCGGTCAATAAAAATGTGAAATGAGAGAAGAAAAAAAAAAATAAAACATAAAAAAATTATTTAAGAACAAGAATCGTAATGGAAAAATCAATTAACCTTAACTAATTCAATTATCACGCTCAAATTTTCTTACTCATAAAAACACGGCGACCGAAATCAGTAAAACATTAAAATACAAAATTGTATGTATTGTTTCGTGTGTGCTCATATGTAGATATAGAAATTCTAAACAAATTAAGAGAAAAGAAAGACCAAAACTTAAATACCGGTGAAGATTTTTATGGTCGTTAATTATTATAATCATTAGTGGAACTTTTGAAATCGACTAGTTCTGAATAATTCAAAAAGTATTCAACTAGTTTTAACGCATTTTTTTAAAAAAATTATTGCAAAATCTGACTTTTCAAAGCATGTCAGTCTTACATCTGATATATTAATTTTTAATGACTTTACGTTGTAAAGAAATAAGAGCATGATTAATATTAAGAATTAAGATTAATACTTACAGTCCATCGAAATGAAAATGGCACTGAGATAGTTGCAAATTTTTGACCATGTAGTTCAAAATTAGAGCCTCCAAACACCGAAGTCGTGTTTTCACCGAATGGACATCCCACCGATTCAGTACCACTTGGAAATTCTTTAAGACATAATCTGAAAGCTGTCGCACACTCTGGACAGTTTGCAGTCTTTGATTTCTCATTGTCATTAGTACCACAGCAAAACCCATCTATAAGATGATTGTTGGCATTCGAAATTTCCAGAATTTTAAGTTCAAAGGAGCCAGCGCCGTTTATCTTTAAAAATCAATGAGAAAAAAAAGGAAAATTAAATAAAGAATGAGAGAGAGAGAGGGAAAAAGACAGCAACAGTTAAAGAGAAATATTTGAGGTAAAAAATATAATATAAAAATTAACGTTGGAGGTAACGATGCTGTATATGTTTGTTATTTCGCGGATTATGTATTAATTTAATTTAATATTCAAACTTATTTTTTTCTTCATCATCATCATCATTTTGATTCTCCTCTCAATCGGTCGCTGCTTAATTTTTTTTTCTTTTTGTTTTTCTTCTTTATTGTGCTTCAACAGGTAGGTAGGATGTGTTTTTATAGTTTTTGATGATTGTTAGGCTATTAATTATAAGTGATTAAAGAGAAGCTCAACTTGTCACACATGGTAAAGACAACAAAAAAAAAAACAGAATAAAAGAGGAAACTTTAAAGATTGCTCGTTTGCTTGCGAGTTGCAGCGACTATTTAAATAGAGACGATGATGATGATGTTGATGAGTGAGATATTTTTTTTACGTTTTTAATTCTTAAGAAATTGTGTATTGTGATTAAGTATGTTTAATTTATTTAAAAATTCAACTGTTACTATTAGAATGAAGAAAAGGAGTTTAAAATCATCAACTTAATTTTGCAGACCCTCCTAAATAAAAACTTGTTAAAAGACCCATTAAAAACGCCGAACCAATAATTCTCATTTAAAGCCTCTAAACAAAACCAAATGAAAGAAAATAATAAAATAAAAACACACACAAGAAGACCATTAACTCATTATAAGAAGAAAAGTGAATATTTTCTGGTGAATTTTCTCGAGAAATATCGGTATTCAACAAACACATACCATCCATAAGGTATCTTTTTTTTCTTATGTTTCTTTAAAGAATTTAACGTTGTTTAGTCTTAAACAAAACGCGACATGTTTTTACTTTTTTCTTGCGTTGTCTTTCATGGGGGGACTGCTTTATATTTTATTTATTTTAATTAGGTGGGAACATGAAGTTTAATTGGATGATTTTTTTTCCTCGATTTAGTTTCGATTTGAAAAAATATATTGAACTTTTTGGAATTTTTGTGTGTGCTGTTTTTTCCTATGCTTCATTTTTTTTTTTATTTATTTTAATTCATTTGATTTTCGTGTTAAATGTAAAGAAGGAAACTTTTATGTTAAATATTCCACGAAATAATGAGATGGCTCATGTCCATTTCTTGTGTATAGATCGACATTCTAAAAAGACACTTGAATCATCAACCTTGTTGAAAAACCAGCCAAAAATGTCATTTTCGATTGATTCAATAATGAAAATCAAGTCATGAGCTGGCAATAAAAATAAAACAGTCTTTTTTACGACACAATGATTTAATTTTGAAGGATGTGCATTTTTCAAATGAGTATTTTAAAAGGAACTAGTTAAATTGTCTTTAAAATTGCAATAGATAGATTTTTCGAAGATTGAAATGCAAAAAAAAATTTGCACACAAGTTTTTTGTCCATGAACAGAAACAAAACTTATTCTCATATTAAATTTCTCTCAAAGTCATTAAACGTAAACACTCTTATCACTCTGAAATGATTAAAAAAGTGTTGAGCCGAAAATTTATTGATCTTGATCTAATCGCGATGGTTGAAATTTGAATATCTAATTTTATTACATTCGATAAAAATGCTTTTCTTTCAAAGAGTATTGCGTTGATATGCGCAAGCTGTAGGTTTTTAAAAGCACCTCCATCTGATTTTAGTTTATTGGATTTTATTTCCTGAAAACTCTCAATATGCTCAATAAGTCCACATATTCAATTTTTATAGTTTCCAATTAGCTGATAAATATAAGATCCAAAAATAAAATAAAAACCTAATATTTGACATTCTAAAATTATATTCTACAAATTATTAGCAGTAATTTTAATTAAAGGAACACATTGCCATGCGAACTTTTTGTTTTATTCCATTTAACAGGTTCAAAAATACAGAAGATTGGCAGGTTTCATCTTTCGAAAGTTTATCAAGATCAACCTATTTATCAATGAGCCATATAGTGATGAAAATGTCAATGGCAGGAAAGGCAACAAGCGAAGAAGCGTCAATACAAACAAACTTGTTGTCCACTAATATTGATAAAGTCATAGAGTCAATAAGAATTCATGAAGAGTGATCATCACATCATTCCATCAAGTCAGTCGTCAAATAATGAGTCGCTTTGGTTTTTAATTTAATTTTTTTTTGGTCACAAACCGGTCACGCGGTTTTTGTTGAAAACATTGAGAGATTTATGGACTGTCCAGATGGCACTAAATTTTTCTCGTTCCTTCAGTTCTTCTTCTGTTAACTTCATCCCGAAAAAAGAAGACACACAAAAACTGAAATAAAATAACATGAACGAAAGAAACTGAAACCGAACCGAATAAAAGATAATAAAATTAAATGAAACTTTTTAAAATCACAAATACTGTGTGTAGTAAGCGCATTTTGAATCTATCAGAGATATTGCTAAAATAGTAATGACGAATTTTGATGTTTAAGAGAAATAATTATGCTTTATGAAATCATGGCAACATATAGCTTTAAATAAGCTTCAACTTTTTTTCAAAAAAAAAACATTAATCCGACAAAGACATAAAAAATGATTTGGATCAATCCTTCTTAAAATTTTTGGTAAAATGAATGGCACAGAAAGAATTTTTTTCTCGTTTTCTCTTACTCTTCACATACCTTACTCCTTTTCTTTTAGTTAAAATAACGAAGACATTTGCCGCTTTATAATTTTTCTTGATTCCTTTTCACAACTTTTTTTTCCTTTTTTTAAATCAGAAAAAAAATTCTTTAACTTCCATCTTTTCAATTTGAGTCATTTTTTAATGCTTTTTTATCTTAATATGAAATCAGATCAAGTTTCGGATAAAAGTGTTAAACGTTTTGGAATTTGAAACTAAGAATCTAATCTAATTAGACATATTCCTGTGGAGGACGAAAATAAAAGATTAAAATATATGACAAGAAAAAATAAAAACTTTGAGCAACACGTAATAAAATGACAATAATTAGAAGGTTTAATAATTTAAGTACAAATTTGAGAAACTTGTGGTTTTCGATTTTAAGGCTATGCAAGTCTTAATAATGATTCTTGCGAAATGTGCCTGGTTTGTAAGGAAGTGATCATTTAATTTAGCTAAAAGGTTTTTCAAGTTTAGTTTAAAATATGAACAAACAAAATTTGATTGATTATTGGAGTAGCTTATGATTATTATGAAATTAATTTTATTTGTCCTCTCAAGTCGTTGCCAAATGATGCCTATAACAGATGAAAAATGATGATGATCTTAATAGTTTTTTGCAGATTTTAGGTGTATCAATTTTTTTGTCATTATTCTTTATTATGCAATGACTCGGAATCTTTTTTAATTCAAAAGTGATCTAGAATTAAGGATGTTAAGCATTAAACATTTTAATCAAAAGAACACCCAGATTTGTTTAAAAAAAAACAAACATCGATTCTGAAACATATTAAGAATGTTCCCATTTAGTAGGTTTCTCAACCCTTTTATTTATTTTTTTCTCGTCTGTCATCATCTTCGTTCTATGAAAAGAGATAAGAAGAAATTATTTAAACGAATTTTATGGACATTTTTTACTATCATAAAGCTATCGCCACCGTGGCGGCAAAGTGTTCCTATATGACCACGCAAATATAATAAATGCTAGAGGCATAATACATAATATCGAATGAGTATCGATAGCGCACAAATAATAATAGTAATATAGTTCTCCATTTAGTAATATAATGTTTTATGGATTGGTAGTAGCATCCAATTTCTAGGATGTCATGCTGTTCAATATTTTTATTTCGCAATCGCGTTCGAGATATTTATAATGGGTAATTCTTTTGCTTTGAAACCAATTTTGTATCGGGGAGAGAGAGAGAGAGAAAGAGAGAAAGAGGTATATATAAAAATATAAAAGTGATACGGCGGTGAATTGGCCAATAATATGAATCATAAAAACAGCTTCGTCATTGACACTTGGAACACGTCACTCGTGATGTTTTTAGAAATTCCGATTGGATGATAGTCTGAGTTACTTCGTTCATAAATTATATTTCCTTATTTTTTTAAACTTCACGCTCTTCTTGTTCAGTTCATCCCGTGTGTCTTGATGTTTTTCAAGCAATATTTTAATAAAGTACTTGATTTATGCATTTTGCATAGGTAGGTTTTTTTGACTTAATGGCCAGTGTTAATTAAAAAAATTTACAAACGGATTTAAATTCTTATTGGATTCGATTTAAATTCAATATAGAAATGCGCATTGTACCTCGATCTACAAAAAATTTTCGCTAATTTTTTCAACAAATTTTTAACTCTGTCTTTCCAGTTTTTTCTTCATTTTTGAGTGGAGACAATAAAATACATTCCACATCTTTATTTCTAATACAGCTCGTTGCTCTATCTCTGATAATCGACAGTTTAAGCTTGTCGTATGCCTTCTTTTTCTCGTTCGTAATATTTATTTAATGTTTAAACTTAATATATTGCGTTTTTTGTTGATTCTTTCGAAAAAAAAAATAAAAGAACGAAAAACAAAAAGAAGTTTAAAAGAGGAGAAAATGTATAAAATTAAAAGTTTAATGAGAAAAATTTATATTAGAATGAGAAACTGGTTTGCTCATGTATTTCATGATACAGTGCGCATCCTGCTAACTTGGTAAAATTGCAACTTTGCATGTCGATATAGTCTTCGTGACCTGGCCACAACACAAATCGTGATCTCGGCTATGCGATTAAGCTTAAACACTTTTAATTGTTTTTAGCGCCTTAATCTTAGATAAAAATCTGCACGTTGTGACTCTCTTTTTTGTACACCCGCTGGCTTTGTATTCTATTCAGCTACTTTTTGTTTCTCCCAAGTCACAATTCTCATAGGCTTTAAAATTTATAACTTTATTAATACACAGTGTACGGTACTATTAGATATTGAACTTTGTGCTGCTGAAGCTAACATCTTTATCACTTGATT